CTAAAACATATAATATAAAAAAAAAATTTAGATTAAATGAATTTAAAAGTAGATTAGATGCTGAGACTAAAAGATGAGTGAACTTGGAGAAATAGTTGTAGAAACGACACAAACCAAAACATACTGAGGAAAACAGGAAGGAATTTAATAGCACCGCAGTGTTCTGGGGAATATCAAATAGTCTAACACATATAATTAGTGTTGTATATGGAGGTAAAACAAGTACAATAGAAACAGATTTAAAGAAATATTGGTTAAATATTTTCCAAATTTGATGAAATCAGTAATCATATGTTGTTGTTAGGTGCCATCAAGTCATTTACAACAGAACAAAACATTGTCCAATCCTGTGCCATCCTCACAATTTTGTTATGCTTGAGCCTACTTGCTGCTGCCACGGTGTCAATCCACCTTGTTGGGACTCTTTCTCTTTTTCGCTGACCCTCCACTTTACCAAGTATGATGTCATCCAGGGACTGGTCCCTTCTGATAATATATCTGAAGTATGAGAGATGAAGTCTCACCATCCTTGCTTCTAAGCAGCACTCTGGCTGTATTTCTTCCAACATGGACTTGTTTATTCTTCTGGCAGTCTATGGTCCCTGTAATACTCTTCTTCGACATCACAACTCAAATCTATCAATTCTTCTATTGTCTTCCTCATTCAGTGCTCAACTTTCACATGCATGTGAGGCTATTGAAAATGTCATGACTTAGATCAGGCATATGTTAGTCCTCAGACTGATATCTTTGCTCTTGAGCATTTTAAAGAGGTCTTCTGCACTAGATTTGTCTATTACAATTCATCGTTTGATCTCTTGAAGAACATTGTAAACAAATTTTACTCACTTTAGAACATTCTATCACACAACACTAGAATACACATTTTTAAGTACACATGGAAAATTACCAAAATAAACCATACACTAGACCTTAAAAGGATGCGTCATGACTCTGTAAGATAAGCACTGGACTACAAAAAGCGAGGTTGGTGGTTCAAGTGCACCGGCCACTCTGTGGGAGAAAGATGAGGTTTTCTGTTCCCACAAAGATTTTAAAAGGTTCTGAAACCCTATACATGGTCGCTATGAGTCAAAACCAACTTGGAGGCACTTAACAGCAACAGCTAGGCCTTAAAAAAGGATAGAAATCACTAGTCAGAAAGCATCTTGTCTATATACTAAAAATGACTAAATATTGCTGAAAAGTTTTAAAGAAATTATAAACGATTGGAGAGACATTCTGAACTGAAAGGCTTAATATTGTTAAAACGCCTATTCTTTCCAAATTTGTCTATATACTTACTGCAATATCAATTAAAAACAACAACACATTTTTCTACATAAATCAACATGCTGACTCTAAAATCCATATGGTAATGTAAAGGAACAGAATAGTCAATCAATTCTGAAAGAGAAAAACTAATTTTAAGGACATATTTCTCTTGAGTTCAAGACTTAATTCTAAACCGCATTGATCAAAGACAGTGTGTTATTAGTGCAACAATAAAGCACATAGGAGAGTGGAACAGAATAGAGAGTTCAGAAATAGACATACATGCATATGGTTAATTGATTTTTGATACAGGTCATTCAAAGAAAAATTCTCAGTAAAAGATGCTTGAATAACTCAAAGATTCTCAAAAATAAAATTGAAATACACTGTAAGGATAAACATAAAATTAGAATCATTAAAAAAAAATCTAGAAGTAAGCATAGGATAAAATCTGTGTGACATTGGGGCTTAACAAATATCCCTTAGATAGAATCATTGAAGAAAGATTGAAAAATTGGCTCAATCAAAATTGTAAGTGTCAGTTCTTCAAAAAAACACTGCCAAGAAAATAAAAAATCTACCCGGAGTTAGGAAAATATTTGCAAAGCATGACAAATGACTGATGTCCATAATATGTACAGAGTATTTACAATTTAATAATAAGAACACAAACAACCTGATTAAAGAAAAATGGGCAAAAGGTTTTAATAGATGCTTCTTGAAGAAGATATGTGAATGGCAAAGAAACACATGAAAAAATTACTCACATTAGTAACCATCAGGGAAATACAAATAACCACCATACATATGGAAAGACTAAAATAATAAAGATTGATAGTAACAAGCGTTAAAAAGGATGTAGAGTAACCACAACACTCATACATTGCTGATAAGAATGAAAAACAGTACATCTACTGTGAAACCTGGACAATCAGTACGGAAGACAGAAGCAGAATTGATGCTTTTGAATTCTGGTGTTGATGAAGAATACTGAATATACCATGGACCGTCAGAAGAATGGACAAATCTGCCTTAGAAGAAGTACAGCCAGAATGCTCCTTAGAAGTAAGGATGGCAAGATGTTGTCTCACGTACTTCAGTCATGTTATCAGAAAGGATCAGTCCCTTGAGGAAGGAAGACATTATGTTTGGTAAGGTGGAGGGACAGTGAAAAAGAAGATTCAGTGGCTACAACAATGGGCTTTCAGTTATCAACAATTATGAGGATGGTTCAGGACTAGACAGTGTTTCATTCTACTGTACAGTACATAGGGTCTCTGTGAATCAGAACTGACTTAATGGCATCTAATACCAGCTTTGGAAAACAATTTGACACTGTTATAAAATTTGACACCGTATGCCCCAGCAATCCTACTCCTAGGTGTGTATCCAAGAAAATGAAAACATATGATCAATGAAATGAAAGCAAAAGACCATTATGATCCATGGGGTGAATGTTGATAGAGGCTTTATTCATAATCACCAAAACAACCAGTTAATGGATAAACTATTGTGATATGTCCATTCAATAGAACACTACTTGAGAATAAAAAGTAATGAACTACTAATATATAGAACAAATGAGATGAACAAACAAAAGCCAGACACTAAGGAGTATATATTATATGATTCCTTTCATACAAATTCTAGAAATGATAAATCTTAGTAATGAAGCAGAAGAGTAGTTGCCCGGGGCTGAGAATAAGAGGGGAAGATGGGGAAGGGACACAAGAAAAACTTTGCCATGAAGGAAACGTTATAGATCTAGATTTGCATAGAGATTGCAGGTGGAGATTGTAGACCTTTTAAAAAACTCATCAAACTAGACAATTAAACTGTGCATTGCATTTTATTTTATTAGATGCAAATTATATATCTCACAAAGCTGATTTTTAAAATGAGTGACTCATTAAGATCTGGCTAGGAGGTGAAGGGGGAGTTAGGAACCAAGGGGTCACGGACACAGCAGCAGGTTTGGAAACACAGAATGGGGTGAGAGGTGGCTGAGACCCTTATGGGAGTAATGGGGATTTGTGGATTCAGGTCATAGACACAGACCCATGGATTGTGGCAGTGCCCACCTCAAAGCATGTGGTGGACAAGGGGGCACCACTGGACATTATCTGATACATGACATGTTAGGGACAGTGGTCCATTGACAGTCACAGCCCCTAAGAGTGAGGTAGAATGTACATGGGGGCTTTTGAAGTTCTCATTAGAGGTCTGACTGCATGTGCCATCACACATGGTCTAGTGTATCCTTCCCAGGTGTTTTACAAGCTTCTTGGTAGACCAAGACCTGACATAGGGACATAGGGACATAGGTCACAGGAAGGCTACTGGAGTCTTGATTCCTGTGTCCCTTACATTCCTTAGACCAAATCCAGATCTTTCTAGAGTCACTCAACTGGACGCTGGTTCCTACAGATTCTCCCACCTCCTCTTGGAGGACTCCTGGTGTGATGCTGTAGGATAAGCAGTGGACTGTTAACCTCAAGGTTGACAGTTCAAACCCACCAGCCACTCACTGGAAACCCTATAAAGCAGCAGTGGGGAGCCTTTTTGTCTGCCCAAATTTATAATATCATGCTACCATACAAAATTATCAACTTAAAAATGAGCTGCTATATTTGATCAAGCGATCAATTAACTCATCCCTAATGATTGGAGTCCTGGTGTGGAACTGTAGGATAAGTGCAGGACCACAAGTCTGTTTGAACTGCAAGGTCAGCAGTTCAAACTCACCAGTTGCTCCTTGGAAACCCTAATCAGGGTCACTATGAGTTGGAACCGACTTGATGGCACTTAACAACAACAGTGTGATGGCTAGATCTGCAGTTGCTTTGGCAAGACCAGACCAAATAATTTCACAGACCTTATAGAGCCTGCTGGCTGGATGTTCCCACTCCTGTAATACAGGGTTGCTATGAGTCAGAACAGACATGGCAGCACTTAAAAACAGCAACCTCCTCTTGGAACATTTTTGCATCCAAATAAAGTCAGTTTAACTTCTATGTCCTTGAAACCAAACTCATCTTTCAGTAATATCACATGTCTGCTAAATGGATAGATCTGGTTGGCCCATTGGAAGGAGTGACCCAATACCCAGGAGGGTTGTGAATCAGGAAACTGGACCAGCATCCTCACAACACTTCTGAAGAGGTGGGTTTTCCTGGTAGGATAGTGGGTGGGAAGGAGACCCATGGAGTTGTGGAGAACCTCGCAGATTGTGGAGAGTCTGTGGACAGCGGGTCTAGGAGAGCACCGGGCAGAGGAACAAGCAGAACTTGAGACTTCCTTGGTGGGACCTGAGGCCCAGGACCCTCCCAAAGAGTGAGGCCTCTGTGCTATGATTTCTGAAGTAGCTCACTCATCCATAGAATGAGTCTCAAAACCTTGTGTCCCCACCATGAGAGTCTGACAACAGGAAATCAGATCAAAGGATCAAAGTGAGTTTATTCAAGTGTTGATAGGTAGGTAGTCAAGAACAACTAGAAGGTTCCTGGAGGTCAGGGGGCAAAGGTCACTGGGGAAAGTGGAGATGTGGAGGGTACCCATCCTTAGATGGAGGTAGCCACTTAACTGGATCGGGACAAGGACTACGTGGGTATGAGGAACAAAGCCACAATAGGACCTTCAGCCCAGTTGACCCCGGGGATAGTGCCTGGTCAGCAGGTGGACTTCGGGCAGGATGATGGGCCACAGCAGGCTGGGCGAGGACACACAGGGCGACAGATCAGGGACATGCAGGAGGAGGCAGGGGCACAACAGGAGGAGGTGGGGGCACAGCAGGCAGGCTTGCACACAGGGCTACAGATGAGGGACACGGAGGAGGAGGGTTTGCAGCAGGAGGGGGCACAGGGAGAGGGCTGGCAGCTCGAGGAGGAGGAGCAGGGGGAGGCCCCACAGCACACAGGCACACAGCAGACAGGCTTGCAGCAGATGGGCACGCAGCAGATAGGCTTGCAGGAGACAGGCATACAGCAGGTCTGCTTGCAGGGGGAGGTCTCGCAGCTTGATGACTGGCAGCTAGACTGCTGGCAGCAGGAAGGCTCACAAGAGCTGGTGCACACCAATTGGCAGGGGTTGGGCCCACAGGTCAACTGGCAGCTGGGGCTGGACCCACAGCTCACAGGGGTGCAGACAGGTTTGCAGCAGACGGGCACACAGCAGGGTTGCTGGCAGGAGGAGGGCTTGCAGCTGGATGACTGACAGCTAGACTGCTGGCAGCAGGAAGGCTCACAGGAGCTGGTGCAGACCAATTGGCAGGGGCTGGACCCACAGCTCACAGGGGTGCAGACAGGTTTGCCACAGATGGGCACACAGCAGGGCTGCTGGCAGGGGGAGGATGTGCAGCTGGATGACTGACAGCTAGACTGCTGGCAGCAGGAAGGCTCACAGGAGCTGGTGCAGGTGGATTGGCAGGGGCTAGAGCCACAGCTCATGGGAGTGCAGATGAGGGTCAAACAGGAGGCTGGGGTGCAGCTAGTGGGGACACAGCAGGAGGACTGGGAGCAAGTAGGGACACAGCAGATAGATTGGGAGCAGGAGGGGACACAGCAGGAGGACTGGGAGCAGGAGGGGACACAGCAGATAGACTGGGAGCAGGAGGGGACACAGCAGGAGGACTCAGAGCAGGTGGGAGCACAGCAGGAGGACTGGGAACAGCTGGGGGCACAGCAGGGGGGCTCACAGTAGCTCTCAGGGCAATCATCCACCTCCCAGGAGGAGCCCATGCAAGACTCAGAAGAACTGGGCAGGCAAACACGGTTGCTGGAGCAGACTGACATGGTGGATACAACCACAGTGGAAAGACCAGGAGAGGTGGTGGAAGGTGTGAATTAGTGAGTGAGGTGCTCTGAACTGCCTGGATTTTTATATCCCTCTGTGTTGTGTGTTTTCCCACCAAAGGCTCCATGATGCCCTTCCCCTTCCTGGTTGATAGCCTTGCTTGTTCCAAGACCTCTTCAGGGATGTTTGTTTGCCATGGGTGTGGTACAGCTCATAAATCTGCATAGATGGTTTAGGCCTCAGTGTCCTGTCGCAAACTGTGGTTCCACAGGTGCAGGAGATGGGGGCCTGATCCCAGTCTGGGTCCATGGGACCTACCAGGGATAGGGATGTTGGGAGGGTTGAATATCCTGAGTCCTCCTTTGTGTGCCGGGAGCAGGCTAGAGTCAATAATAGCTGCAGCCCAGAAATCACTGATATGAATATGAAGTCAAAACTCTGACAAGTGCTTCCACAAGATAGGCAGTTCAAACTCACCAGCCACTCCTTGGAAACCCTATACAAGGTCGCTATGAGTCATACACAACTCAACAGGCACTTAATTAACAATAACAACAACAAACAATCAATGTTGGGGGAGTCTTGGTGTAGAATAAACACTGGACTACTAACCACAAGGTCAGCTGTACAAAACCACCAAACTCTTCTAGTGGGGCCTTTCTGCATCCCTTGTGAAGCCAGGGTTGCTGCCACTTGTGAAGGAGGGACCTTGAGCCCAGGACCAGAGTTTGTGACTAGCTTATAACATCTTGGATCCATGCTCTGTGCCCTTTCTCATGGACAAAATGACTCTCTCTGATCCTGGTTAAATGTATCCATTATCCATGTGGCCCTTCTGCTTGGAAGAAAGTAGGAACTCTTTATATTTGAGGTAAAGGATTGTGTAGAACATGATTGACCTTGTCCATAGTCAGGCACAGTGATAGTTTCTTATGTCTTTGGTTCTTGGCTTCTGAATCTCATCCCAATGGCCAAGCTGGACTGCAGGTGGGAACACTTCATGGGTAATTGACTAATCTCCTGAGAATTATTGTGGATAGCCTTGAGGAAACAAAACAAAACTGCTAGAGGCCTAGTTTTAGGGGGACCCCACACATTCCTAAGTTTTGCATTCCAGAAGTTTCATTAGATTCTCACTGTGAATTTAGAGAGAAATTCCCTTGAGCTTCCAGCAGGGGGAGAGGAAAACGAATCATTTGAAATAAGCCCAGAACATTCTGCCCTCTAAGGAGCTCTGGTAGCACAGTAGTTATGACTGGGGCTGCTAACTACCAGCTGCTCTGTGGGAGAAAGATGAGGTTTTCTTCTCCTTTAAAGATTTATAGCCTCAGAAACCCTATACAGTTTTGCTATGAGTTGGAACCAACTCCACAGCATATCACCACCACCAGTACCATTCCATTCTCTAAACAATGGTCTGTCCTTAGGAAAACAATATTGCTAGAACCTAATCAAATTACCTTCTTTAGACAGCATAAGAGATGACTATACACATGGACCTCACCAGATGGAATATACAGAAATCAAATTGACTACATCTGTGGAAAGAGACAGTGGAAAAGCTCCATATCATCAGCTAAAACAAGGCCAAGGGCAGATGTGGAACAGACCATCAACTGTTCATATGAAAATTCAGACTGAAGCTGAAGAAAATGAAAACAAGTCCAAGAGAGCCAAAATATGACCTTGAATACATCCCATCTGAATTTCCAGATCATCTGAAGAACAGATTTGATACATTGAACACTAAAGACCAGAAAACTTGTGGGAAGACATCAAGAACATCATACAGGAAGAAAGCAAAAAGTCATTATGAAGACAAGAAAGAAGGAAAAGGTCAAAATGGATGTCAGAAGAGACACTGACACTTGCTCTCTAATATGGTGGTGCTGGTGGTTATGTGCCGTAGAGTTGGTTCTGACTCATAGCGACCCTGTACAGGGTTTCCATAAATCTTTATGGGAGCAGAAAACCTCATCTTTCTCCCGCGGAACAGCTGGTAGTTTTGAATTGATGACCCAAAGGTTAGCAGCCCGATTCATAACCACTATGCTACCAGAGTGTAGAGATGCTAAAACAAATGGAAGAAATGAGGAGGTGTAAGAGCTGAACAGAAAACTTCAAAGATCAACTCAAGAAGACAAAGTCAAATATTACAATGAACTATACAAAGAGCTGGAGTCAGAAAACCAAAAGGGAAGAACACGCTCAGCATTTCTCAAGCTAGGGGGAACTGAAGAAAAAATTCAAGCCTCAACTTTCTTTATTGAAGGATTCTCTGGACAAATTATTGAATGATGCAAAAAGCATCAAAAGAAGATGGAAGGAATACACAGAGTCACTTTACCAAAAGGACATGGTTGATGTTCAACTGTTTCAAGAGGTAGCATATGATCAACAGCCAGTGATACTGAAGGAAGACGTCCAAGGTGCATTGAAGGAATTGGCAAAACAAAAGGCACCAGGAATTGATGGAATCAAAATTGAAATCTTTCAAGAAAGTGAGGCGGCACTGGAGGCACTCTCTCATTTATGCCTAGAAATTTGGAAGACAACTATCTGACCAACTGATTGAAAGAGATCTGTATTTGTACCCATTCCAAAGAGAGGTGAATCAACGGAATGCAATAATCATCGGACAATCTCTTTGATATCCCATGCGAGTAAAGTTTTACTAAAGGTAATACAGAAGTGGCTGCAAGCATACATTGACAGAGAACTTCCAGAGGTTCGAGCAGGATTCAGAAGAGGATGTGAAATGAGGGATATCGTTGCTGATGTCCAATGGGTCTTGGCTGAAAGCAGAGAATACCAGAAAGATGTTTACCTGTGTTTTACTGACTATGCAGAGGTTTTTGATTGTGTGGATCATGACAAGCTATGGACAACAAAGTATGAATATTCCAGAACACTTAACTGTGTTCATGAGGAATCTGTACCTGGACCAAGAGGCAGTTGCTCGAACAGAACATGGGAACACTGAGTGGTTTAAAATTAAGAAAGGTGTACAGCAGGGCTGTCTTCTTTCACCATACTTATTCAACCTGTATGCTGAGCAAATAATACGAGAAGCTGGGTTCTATGAAGAAAAACATGACATCAGGATTGGAGGAAGTCTCTTTAACAACCTGCAATATGCAGATGATACAACCTTGCTTGCTGAAAGTGAAGAAGACTTAAAATATTTACTGATGCAGATCAAAGAGCACAGCCTTTCGTATGGATTGCATCTCAATGTAAAGAAAACAAAATCCTCACCACTGGACCAATAAACAACATTCTTATCAACGGAGCAGGTCTTGAAGTTGCCAAGGACTTCATTCTTCTTGGATCAACTATCAACACTCATGGAAGCAGCATCAAGAAATCAAATGACGTGTTGCATTAGGCAAATCTGCTGCACAAGACCTTTCTAAAGTGTTGAAGAGCAAAGATGTCAGCTTGAAGAGTAAGGTGCGCCTGACCCAAGCCGTGTTGTTTTCAATAACCTCATATGCATGTGAAAGCTGGACAATGAATAAGGAAGACTATAGAAGAATCGATACATTTGAGTTATGGTGTTGGAGGAGAATATTGAAAATACAATGGACTGCCAAAAGAACCAACAGATGTGTTGGAAGAAGTTTAGCCAGAGTGCTCTTTGGAGGCCAGGATGACCAAACTTTGTGTCTCATTGTTGTTATTGTTATGTGCCGTGGAGTTGGTTCCGACTCATAGCGACCCTGCACAGGGTTTCCGAGGCTGTAAATCTTTACAGGAGCAGACTGCCCCATCTTTCTCCCACGGAACAGCTGGTAGTTTCGAACTGCCGACCTTGTGGTTCGCAGCCCGATTCGTAACCACTACACTACCAGAGCTCCCATACTTCGGACATATTGTCAGGAGGAGTCATTGGAGAAGGGTATCATGTTTGGTAAGGTGGAGAGTCAGAGAAAAAGAGGAAGAACCCCAGCAAGATGGATTGGCCAAGTGGCAGCATCAATGGGCTGAAGCGTGGTAACAGTTGTGAGGTTGACCCAGGACTGAGCAGTGTTTCATTCTGTTGTGCATAGGGTCGCTATGAGTCAATACCCACTCGAATGCACTTAACAACAACAACAACAAATGTTGGAGGAGTCCTGGTGTGGCACTGTGGGATAAAGATCAAACTGAGGTCGGTTTGAACCAGAAGGTTGGCAGTTCCTTGGAAACCCATTATGAGTCAAAACTGACTTAAAGTCACTTAAAACAACAACAACAAATGTTGGGAGAGTCTTGGTGTGGCACTGCAGGATAAACAGTGGACTGCTAACCACAAGGTCAGTGGTTCAAACTGCTGACCTTGTGGTTACCTTACACAGGGTTGATAACCTTATACAGGGTTGATATGAGTCGAAACTGACTTGATGGTACTTACCAGCAACTATTAATGTGGGGGGAAAGAAAAATCTAACTCTAGCTCCCTCGAGCCTCCCTTTTTCCACTAAGGAGTAAAATAACAACAACAACAAAAAAGAAGTGCTTGTGGTGGTCACAGTCCAGTGGCACAGACTGTCTCTCTCTTGCACATACACAAATGGGGTTTCAAAAGGTCCATGGAAAATTGGAATTAGAAAATAACAGAATTTTCCATAAACTCATTCTTCTTAACGTCTGTGTAGAATTCTACAAGTGTCTATGCGGTTACATTCTATTTCTGTGCAATACCGCAGAGTTAGTAACTTAAAGAGATCCACGTTTACTATTTTACAATGTCTGTGGCTCAGGAGCTGGCCCCAAGAAAAGTGGGCAGGATTCAGTCCTTACAGATGGTCACAACTTTGCCGATGGTTAGTTGCCCTCAGTTCCTTGCCATATAATTCCTCCATGGGAAAGCTCACAACAAAGTAGTTCACAAGACAGGCATTATGATCTTATGTGATATAATAATTGTGCATAACAATGCAGATCTCATCACCTTGGTATATTCTATGTGGCCAGAAGACAGTAACAGGTACCTCTCACATCCAAGGGGAGGAAATCACCCAGGTCATGAACTCCAGGAGATGGGAGTCTTTCTCCTAAAGTCTGCGTCAGAGTTCACTAAACAACCTCCTGTTGGCACACCTTCATGCTGTGTTGAATTTATATACACAGTTACCATTCATCAGTTTAGAATTCCAGGTTTGCAGTTATTTTCTTCCAGCACCTTAAAAATAATCATTCTATAAGCTTGCTTTCATTTTATGTGTTAGAAAGTTTACTATTGCTACATCTTTGAAAGTGGTGGGGGTTTTTTGGTTTGTTTTTACTCTAATTGCTTTCAGAGAGCACACCCAATGACCTCCCCTTTGGATTAGATGCCAATCTTCTGAGCTTACTTGTCATGAAATCATAGCTGCCACCTCTCACAGTCAGGGCTACATCACTTTCTCAGAATCTAGGGCATTTTGTAGCACAGGGAAAGATTTGCTATGTAGTAAAGAAATGAGTGCTTGAGAAGTAAAAGAACCAGATAGAATTTGAAAAATACATAGCAGAGAATCAATGGTGACCACCTACATATTATTTCGGGGCAGAGGGAGGAATCATTTGGTTGAGTATCAGGTTTCTAGCTTGGGTGACCAAAAATTATTTAGGTAACTATCCAGAAAAGTCATAGGAAAAATAAAACCAATCATTGCTGGTTTGTATCTTGGATATTTTGATGTGGGCGACTGTTTTTTGAAGTGGAGCATTTAGGCACAGGATATGGAAGCTTTTGGAGTAACTACAAGTAGAGAGGTAAAGATTTGGCCAGACACAGGGATCTGGGACCTTATTGGGTGTCTGAATGAAGACAGATGTATGTGTGCACACACAGGAACCTCGGCTTTTCCACATAGGAAATGCTGCCACAGGGCTGTCTCTCCTTTACCTGTCTGTCACCTGTACCAAAGCCCTCAAGGGGACTTCCTGCACCAGAGAGACTTCCAGGATTCTTTGACCTGGGAACCCAGACAATTCCAGAGTTGTGCACATCGGAGCCATCCTAAGTCTCCTACTCAAAGATGGTTCTGATTAATGGATTTCTTGCACAGCCAACCCAGACACCCAACCGGACACCCAATAAGGGAGATCCCATTTGTAGACTTACAGCCTTTCTCCTCCCACTTTATGTTCTGGAGTGAAACACAGGTTAGGATGGGTCAACAAGCCCTGCCAAAAAATAGACTCTGGAGTTTTACAAGATGAGCAACACCTCATAGAATCAAAACACTAGTCTGGCATTAATGAGAGTTCTCCAGACTACAAACAACAATAAGGAAGGGAGACTTGTTGAGCCTCCTGTTGGTACAACACACAACAAACACAGAGGGATATAAAAGCCCTGACAGCCTAGAGCTGTCACACACTCACACCTCACTCGTTCACACCCTCTTCCCAGCACACCTCCTCTCACCTCCACCATGACTGACACCTGCTACTCCGGAAACTATGTTCCAGCTGCATCCACCATGTCCGTCTGCTCCAGTGAAAGGAGCTATGGCAGCCGTATCTGCCTGCCCAATGACTACCCTCGCTCCTCCTACGAGGTGGACGACTGCCCAGAGAGCTACTGCGAGCCACCATGCTGTGTTCCCACCTGCTCCCAGTCCTCCTGCTGTGTCCCCTCCTGCTCCCAGTCCTCCTGCTGTGTCCCCTCCTGCCCCCAGTCCTCCTGCTGTGTCCCCACCAGCTGCACCCCAGCCTCCTGTCTGACTTTCATCTGCACTCCCATGAGCTGTGGCTCGAGCCCCTGCCAATCCACCTGCACCAGCTCCTGTGAGCCCTCCTGCTGCCAGTCATCCAGCTGCACGTCTTCCCCCTGCCAGCAGGCCTGCTGTGTGCCTGTCTGCTGCAAGCCTGCCTGCTGTGTGCCTGTCTGCTGCAAGCCTGTCTGCATCCCCATGAGCTGTGGGTCCAGCCCCTGCCAATCCACCTGCACCAGCTCCTGTGAGCCTTCCTGCTGCCAGAAGTCTAGCTGTCAGCCATCCAACTGCGCATCCTCCCCCTGCCAGCAGGCCTGCTGTATGCCTGTCTGCTGCAAACCTGTCTGCTGTGTGCCCGTGTCCTGCAAGCCAGTCTGCTGTGTGCCTGTGTCCTGCAAGCCTGTCTGCTGTGTGCCTGTGTGCTGTGGGGCCTCCCCCTGCTCTTCCTCCTCGAGCTGCAAGCCTTCTCCCTGTGCTCCCCCCTGCTGCAAGCCCTCCTCCTCCATGTCCCTCATCTGCCGTCCTGTGTGCAAGCCTGCCTGCTGTGCTCCTGCTTCATCCTGTTGTGCCCCTGCCTCCTCTTGTATGTCCCTGATCTGTCGCCCCATGTGCCGCCCAGCCTGCTGAGGCCCCTCATCTAGCCAGATGTCCTGCTGCTGAAAGCTCACTGCCACTTGCTCTATTTGGAATCTGTCTTAATCTCCTAGACCATCGACCAGGTCCCACCCTGTATCCCTCCCATAGCATATTTGCCACCACTGTTTAGTCGCTCCTCCAGGAACAATACCTCTCTCTTTCCTTCCCCCAATCAATGTGCCCTGCCTCCCAACTCTAAGGGTTGGCAGTGACCTCAACTTGGCCAGCTGAACCCTTCTAGGTCTTTGAACCTTTGCATGAAATGAAGCAAGAAAAGAAAAGAATGCTTGGAGTTGGCTTCTCTTTACTGCTACCTCCTCAGGCCAGTCAAGTCATTCTGCTCCCTGGCCCTGGTGTGGCCTAAGCTCCTATCCTCATTCCCGAACCTGCTTCCTGTCAGCTATGCCATGCCCTTCCAATAAAGCCCTTTTCTGATAAAATTAACTCGAATGATTTTCTTTTGTTCATATCAAAGACCCCACCCACCATTTCCCTGCAAACAGGTAGTCCTGGGCCACTGCCAGATGTACCTGTGTCCCTCTTCATTTTAGAGGAAGCCCCACTCCATTCTAGCCACATGTATGTCTAAGATGTGGACCTGTTTTCAAGGACATCAGATAAGTAACCTATGGCTGTGACTGCCCTGTGAAGGTGCCCTCCGTCGAGTCGGTTCCAACCAATAGCGACCCTGTACAGGGTTTCCAAGGAATAGCTAGTGAGCTTGAACTGCCAACCTTGCAATTCAAACAGCTTTACAGTCCAGCACATTAACCCACAGTGCACACCAGGCTCCATGACCCTGTATAGGACTTCCAAAGAGTGACTGGTGAGTTTGAACTGTGGTCCAGTGCTTATCCTATGGTCACACCAGGACTTCAATAGGAGTAGAGAAGGTCCTAAAGCTAATCCCTTCCAAGTGGTGTATTGTAACAAGAGAAAGCATTCACAGAGAGAGACGATGTATGGAATCATCTATAAGCCAAAGAATGCCAAGAAAGTACTACACCTCAGGACATGTGGGATTTGGGTAAAATAGTACTCAGGCAATACCAAGTGTTGACAAGCTGAAGGAGAAACTTGAACTCACTCATCTGGTGGAAGCATAAAATGATTCAATCATTTTGAAAAGCAGTTTTATTTAAATATTAAACTGACACCTATCATATGACTCAAACATTTCACTCCTGGATATATATCCAAGAGAAGTGAAAATATGTCCATGCAAAGACTTGTTCAGAGCTACTTTATTTGAACTGGCTGACTAGTTCAAATATCAAAGACAGTGACTGACCAGCACACATTCAAAGAAGTGTGGTTGTGGTTAGCCACCATCTTTGACCAGGGGACCACTACCTGTTTCCTCCTCAGATTTGCTTGCTATGCAATCACGATTCCATTGGCCATGACTGAATCATTTCAAACCATTTTGAATCCCTGTTTTATTCACACTAGTCAAATGGCTAGCAATAGTTAAACAGATTGTATTATAGCCATACAATGGAATAAGACTCTATAATAAATGGAACAAACCACTAAAACATGGTTGGATATTATTACGGATGGAATTGTGCACCTCCCTCCAAGTGTGTGAACTTTTGCATAATATTGAGATTCATGGGCTAGCTCATAAATCTCAATGTAATTACAATTATCCTCCATTTTATTTTGTGACCTGATGTAATTATACTATGAGTTGTAAATCCTATGCTACATAACATTAATAAGGCAACTTTAGTGGCAGTTATGCTAATGAAGCATGGTACAATCTACAGGATTAGGTTACATAAATTCACCTCTTTTGAGACATAGAAGAGATTAAACAAGTGAGCAGAGATCAGAGGGACCTCAGTACCACCAAGAAAGAAGAACTGATGATAAAGTGCTTTGGATCCAAGGTCTCTGCGCTGAGAACGTCCTAAACCCAGGGAAAGATTGATGCAAGACACATAGAGATCTCCAAGGAACCTGAGTTCACAGATGCTGAAAGGAGACAAGAACCTTCTTCCTAAACTGTGAGCCAACGGAGAAAGAAAGCCTTCCTTTACAGCTGGTGCCCTATATTTGGACTCTAGTCTCCAAAGCTGTGAGAGAATAAATTTCTGTTTGTAAAACCCATCCCATTTGACATTACTGTTACAGCAGAATTAACAAACTATGACAGATTTTTCTTTAATTGTATGCTGAATGAAACAAGGCAGATTAAAAGAGTACATATTATATAACTCAATTTATATGAAATGATAGGAAAGGCCAATCAAATCTAGATAGAGGAAAGATATAGGGATTTCCTTAGGTGTATGCTGACTGTGAAGGTTCACTTAGGAAATTTTTGAGGTTATGAAACGTTTCTGTATCTTTCTGTTGTAATGTTACACACACACACTCACATATTTCTCAACATTCGTCAAACTGTAACTCGTCATTAAGAGAATGAAAAGACAAGTATAAGTTATTTGTAATACACATATCCACTGGTATGGGAAAGGTAGCTTGTGCCAGCTCACAAGAACTTTTGATATTTCTCTTTTTCTGGCTTCATGTTCAGTAATTGATATTACTTGGTGGTGATGTGCTGTGGAGTTGGTTCTGACTCACAGCAATCTTGCAATTTACAGACTCTGAGGCTGTAAATCTTTATAGGTGCAGAAAGCCTCATCTTTTTCCTGTGGAATGATTGGTAGTTTCGAACTGCTGTCCTTGAGGTTAGCAGGTCAACTTGTAACCACTATGCTATGAGCGCTCCTTACACTGCTAGCTTAAGCTTGACTAAAGTATGGGTATTGACATCATGGAAATTGTCTAATACTATTACAATCAGGGCATTTGTTGGTTTGTGTTTCACAGAGCCCATTGCTAAATGTTTACAAGAATGTCACTGCATATATCCGGCAAATAATTTATCAATAGAATATATCATTAATTTCCATAAATCAATAAATTGCACCTCTCTCTCTCTCTCACACACACACACACACACACACACACAAACACACACAGAGCCATGTGGTCAACGAGCAGATGTACTCATCAGGGACAATGAGTGAAGCCCTCAATGAGACAGACTGCCACAATGGCTACAACAGTGGGCTCAAAGTTACCAACTGTGACCAAGATGGCACTGGATTAGGCAACATTTCATTTTGTGACAAAAAGGTTGCCATGAGTCAGAGTCCACTCGATGGCCCCTAACAACTAGTGGCATCACTAGGGTGGTGCAGGGCTGAGGACTTCACTGGGTAACATTGTCAGAGGGGCTAACACCAAAACGAATGTGTACAAAACTTTTGTGCACTGTTTTAGCAGAAATGTGTTATTTTTTTTATCAAAAGATTCTTGTGAAAGCAACAAAAACAGTTTTGAAAGCCCAGACTACATGTATTACTATGAGGCTAAACCTCTATGCTAACTAACCTTTTGAACCTTCTAATGGCTCTTGGAGTCCTGGTGTGGCGCTGTGGATTAATGTGTCAGACTGCAAAGCCATTTGAACTGCAAGGTTGGTGGTTCAAGCTCACCAGTTGCTCCTCAGAAACCCTATATAGGGTTGTTATGGGTCAGAATCGACTGAATGGCACTTAACAACAACAACAATGTGCTCTGGGCAGAGCTGTCATGCTCACAATTATGTGGTAGAATCATGTGCTTTCATCTGCATGCACTGTAATCACAAAAAAACTGTTGGCTTTTGTTGCTGCAGGTGTTTTTACACTTTCTGACTTCAACTAGTTTTCTGGTATTTTAGCTACCATACTGTGGAGGTAAGCAGTATTTGTGACCTTTAATCAATACATTCTTTGAGAATGATGTAGTAATTAAAGCAAAATGAGAAATTCTAAAAAAGGCTTCTAGTCAGCTACTAATCATGTTGTATATAACAAACTTGTAATCCAAAGTGGAAAGATTTCTCAAAACAATTTGTTACTAATATTCATTTAATTTCAGAAATATTAAAGTTAAGCAATTTACAGCTCTGTTTCTCACATTGTTCTATGATTAAACGGATAATAAACATTGCTAAGCATCTGTATGGTGTGGTACAGGAGGGGAGGTCTGTGGCAGGGCAGGAGACTGACACCATGAATTACCTCACTGGGTGGCACCAACCCTTGTGATGCCACTGCTAACAACAATAACAACAATAAACACAGAAACAAGTTAACAAGAAACAAAAGAAGCAACTGTCAATTACAAGGGGGAAATAAAGCAAAGAAAAACAGAAGCTATGCAAGTAAGCAAATTAAATATGGTTCCACTACGCAGACAGAGCTATAAACAACAATCATGTGGTAAATAGCAAAGACATTGATGATTGGGAAAGAACGCTGGTGCTCAGTGGTTAAGCACTTGGTTGCTAACCACAGAGGTTGGTGGCTTGAACTCACTAAACTCTCTGAAGGAGAAAAGACATGACAATCTTCTTTCATGAAGACTGTTGTTGTTGTTGTTAAGTGCCATCAAATCACTTCTGACCCATAGCAACCCTGTTATAAATCCTCTGGAGTAATTCTACTTTGTTCTACAGAATCACTATGAGTCAGAATTGACCGAAGAATAAACAATAATTACAATGGGAGTATGGAAAGAGGGGCACATTGCACGACACTGATAATATTCAGGAGAAAACCCATTCCTCCACGTAGGAAATCAATAGATAATACTGACAATGGAAAATCCAAGTAGTAGCAGAATGTTTATGGTATTTAATAATTGTGAAACTAGTTCAAAGAATGGTTGGGATATGGATGGACATTGGGAGTGAAGTGGTAGAGGGAAAACACAGTTTGCAGATTTAGCAGCTATAGGCGGGGAACTCCCAGCCAGGATTCCCCTGTCTCAATAACGGAGAGGTCTAGGGCATGGACTAGGCATCTGCTGGTGCAAAATACTCCCAAACCAAAAATCACACTAAAGACACACAGTCAAAGAGAGGAAAGAAAAAGAAACCAAGATTTGTCCAGACACATCCAACTCATGATCCATTCAACCTATAGCACAGCCAACAGACACATGCTTGATGTCCATGCTACTTTCAGAGTACAAATCTACCTCCAAGTGACCAGTCATCACCCAGCCACATCAGACATCTTAAAGACAGAGATGTAAACATCACATAGCAAATAAACGAACAAGGTTGTCTATACTGTAATAACGAATGGAGACTTGTTGAGAGTCCTACTGGCAAAACTCACTGGGGAGTGTTATAAAAGTCTGACCACCCAGAGGTTCTCACACACTCATTCACTCACTCACTCACACCCTCACTCACTCACCCACCCCAGCTCATTTCTTCAAGCCCCGACTCCCCACCATGGCTGACACCTGCTGCTCCAGGACCTGTATTACTGCTATGTCCACCAGGTCCATCTGCTCCAGTGAGGTGAGCTGTAGTAGCCAAGTTTGCTCACCCAGTGTTTGCATCAGCTCCTCCTGGAAGATGGATGACTGCCAGGAGACCTGCTTCAAGCCCCCTGTTGCATCTCTACCTGTTGTGCCCCTACCTGCTGTCAGTCCACCTGCTGCACCTCAGGCCCCTGCCTGACCCTCATCTGTACTCCCATGAGCTGTGGGTCCAGCCCCTGACAATTGGTCTGCACCAACTTTTGTGGGACCTCCTGTTGCCAGCAGTCTAGTTGCCAGTAATCCAGCTGCATATCCTCCCCCTGACAGCAGGCCTGCTGTGTGCCCATCTGTTGCAAACCTGTCTGCTGTGTGCCCGTCTGCTGCAAGCCCATCTGCTGTGTGCCCATCTGCTGCAAGCCTGTCTGCTGTGTGCCCGTCTGCTGCAAGCCTGTATACTGTGTGCCTGTGTGCTGTGAGGTCATCTCCTGCTCATCTCCCTTATGCTGTCAGTCCGATTCCTGTGCCCCTTCTTGCTGTAAACCTTCCTCCTTCATGTCCCTCATCTGCAGCCCCATGTGCAAGCCCCCTGCTGTGCTCCAGCCTCCTGCTGTGCCCCAGTCTCCTCTTGCATGTCCCTGCTCTGCCACCCCATGTGCTCCTGCCTGGCCTGCTGTAGCCCCTTGTCAGGTCAGAAGTCCTGCTGCTGAGTGGGCATGTCCCCCCAGGACTCCCACTGACTCTGGCATGTGGTTCTATCCAGGCAGACAATAACCTGCAATGTCTGGACTCTTTCCACCTACCCCAGACCAGTCCAGACTCCAGTTTATTCTAGACCATCTTGAGTTATTCCATCCACACTAATGAGGACCTGTGGCTCTGGTATAGGCTTTCCTCCTCACCTACTGGCCCTTCTACTCTGCTGGCCCTCACCCTGGCCTGTGAGTCAATAAATCACATCTTCACTTCACCTGAGGATTCCCTTTGGTCTATGTCTATCACACAGGGACTTTGCTGTTTGCTTCCACGTCACCTGGTTCCAAAGCCTAAGTTCTATTCATTTTACTTTTTTTTTGCAGTAAATATACTGGCATTCTCTGAAAGGAGTCCTAGTGGTATAGTGGGTTAAGGGTTGGACTGATAACCAGAAGGTCAGCTGTTCAAACCCACTAGCCACTCCTTTTAGGAGACAGGTGAGGCAGTCTGCTCCCATGTATAGCTTTGGAAACCCTATGACGCAGTTCTACTCGGTCCTATAGTGTCACTGCAGAATCAACTCAATGGGAGTGGGTTTGTTTTTTGGGTTAAAAAAAAAAATTACCAAGCACCTCCACTAGAATTCAGTCTTTTACAAAAGTTCATTTTTCTTAATTCTCATGATACCTCTCTGAGGCCAGTGTTGTTGTTATTGTTGTTGTTAAGTGCCACCAGCCAGTGTTACAGGTGTGGTACCTGCAAACTAGGTACAGCCTGACTACAGCACCCCTGCTTGCTAGCAGTTGTCTGTGTTGCTTGATGCCTAGTGTGGGCCCTTCTTGGACTCATGGAAGCATGGTGCTCCTTCCTCTATGTAAGGAATTCTTGTCTGGCTCCCAGGATAATGCTTTTGTCTGTGCTCATGTGCAAGTAGAGACAGGTAACCCTGGTCTTGAATAGGAACCCCTGTAAGACAGTTCTACTCTATCATATAGAGTCACTATGAGTTGGAATAAACTTCGTGGCACACAACAGAGTTGTTATTGATTTTTCTGTTCATTTCTTCATAACAACCCTGAAATTTTCAATTATGAAGAATAGATTGAGCAGAAGCTGTCTGACACTCCCCTACTAATTACCACTGAAATTATATTTTAAAAATTAAAATATAAATAAAATCAAAACAATATAAAAACAAAAACAACAATGGAATATTAGTCAACAATAAAGAGAAATGATATTCAGTACATGACGGTAGTAGTGGTGTGCCACCCAGTTAATTCCAACTCATAGCTGTAGGAGGCTGTAAATCTTTAGGGAATAGAAAGACTCATCTTTCTCCTGAGGAGCAAAGGCTGTAAATCTTGAGGGAGTAGAAAGACTCATCTTTCTCCTGAGGAGCAACTAGTAGATTTGAACTACTGACCTTGTAGTTAGCAGCCCAGTTCATATTCCACTACATACCAGGAATTCTTTGATGCATGCCACTGTATGGCTGAACCTTGAAAGCATCATTCTGAATAAAATAAGTCAGTCACAAAAAGATACATGTTATATGATCTCACTTACATGAAATTAGTAAATATAGATAAATATAAATATTTCTACATAGTGGTCACCAGACATGGAGGGAGAGGAGAAAGGGTAGTTTGTGCTTAGGGAGTACTCAATTTATGTTAACAGTGGTGAGATAACTTGGAAAAGGATAGCAAACATACTGCGTAACTTGAAGAATTTAAGCAAGATCATTCAATTGTATGAGTGAGCTTCAAAAGTTCATGTGAAAAAAGAAATTTAAAAATTATGGAATTTTTCCACAAATTTTCAAGCTGTCATGTACTCATGTTGGAATGGTGGATGTTTTGCTATGTATATTTTTACCACATGGGAAAAAAAGGAGGTCCTCTGTAGATTTCTTTATATATTTATAGAAAAGAGAAGCAGATAAGTCCAAAGCCAGAGGAGAAGGCCTTCAATGCACAAAAAGAGAATAATCCAATTATTTATTCCAAAAATCAAATGAACTGCCACCAATGAGCAGATCTTATCTGAGGTCCGGTGAATCTGATTGTTCAAGAAATTATGGAAAACTTTTAAAAATTCAAGCTAACATCATCAGAGTTAATCTATAACATACGAGTATTTCATTCATGTCATGAGGTATAATCAGCTGAAAATATTTAAATTTTAAAAGGATGAATATGAAAATATTTAAGTCAGTGTAAGGAGCAAATAATAAAATACTGATGGCTAGAGACTGAACTGTGGTCTAAAAGACAGAAATCAAGAAAATATCCTAGAGAATAGAACAAAGGAAAAACATAAGGAAAGTGAGAGAAAAAATACAAGAGGTCCACAAGATCTGATAAGAGTCACAAAAGTAAAGACCATGAAAGATTAAATAGTTTTAAAAAGAAAACAAACAAAAAAACTTTTCTGTGATGAGCCTTCATGTTGAAAATCTTCAATGAGTTTCAACCATAGAAAGTAAAATATGACACATTCTTAGAAATAAACAAGAAAATGACACTGTAAAACAAGAATAAAATAAAACCCCATAATTCTAGAGCATTAAGAGAGAGAGAAAAGATAGTCTGACTATAAAGAAATAACAAATGGCCAACATCTGACTTTCATTAACAACACAGGTCACCACAAGAAGGAAAAAAGAACATTTTCATAGCAATGAGAAAACAATGATTTAAAAAAAGAATTCACTACCCAGCCAAACTATCATGTCATGTGTATGATGTATTTTCAGACATACAAGCAATCTTTTGTGGCACCATAGGGTAAGTACTTGACCTTAAGGTTGGTTTGAACCGCAACTACGGTGGCTCAAGCTCACTAAACGCTCCTTGGAAACCCTATACAGGGTCGCTATGAATCAGAACTGACTTGACGGCACTTAACAACAACATATTTTTAAATGTTTAAAAGAAATATATATATTTCCCTCCCAAGACCCTGCTATGAGAGTGTAGCTGACACCAGCACCATAGTAGAATAGATGGAACCAGAAGACATCACGTTGGAAAAGTGTTCACTCCAAAACCTAACTCAGTAAAATCTTGGCTCACATATTTTCCCACAACTTTTCTGTAGCCAAACAAAAAATCAGATGGGGAAAATAAGAGGTTTGCAGGACACTCACAAGTTCTTTGAGTGAAAAAAAATAGTTGTAGAAAATAAACAGTACTAATGAGGGTTCTTCAGCAACTGGCTCTAAACAACAAGGAAGGGGAGGCTTCTGGAACCTAATGTGAAACAACACAAGCCAGAGAGGGATATAAAAGCTCCGACTCCTCACCCACTCACCCACTCACTCACTCACTCACTCACTCATACTCACACCTTCCTCCCAACCCACCTCCTCTCACACCAACCATGGCCAACACCTATGCTTCAGCTGCATCCACAGTTTCCATCTGCTCCAGTAACAGGAGCTCCTCCTACGAGATGGACGACTGCCCTGAGAGCTACTGTGAACCCCCCTGCTGTGTCCCCACCTGCTCTGCCCCAACCTCCTGCATGACTTTCATCTGTACCCCTGTAAGCTGTGGGTCCAGCCCCAGCTGCCAGGTGGCCTGTGGGTCCAGCCCCTGCCAATCTACCTGTACCAGCTCCTGTGAGCCCTCCTCCTGCCAGCAGCCTGACTGCCAGTCATCCAGCTGCATGCCCTTCCCCTGCCAGCAGCCCTGCTGTGTGCCTGTCTGCTGCAAGCCTGTCTGCACCCCTGTGAGTTGTGGGTCCAGCCCCTGCCAATCCACCTGCACCAGCTCCTGTGAGCCTTCCTGCTGCCAGCAGTCTAGCTGTCAGCCATCCTGCTGCACATCCTCCCCCTGCCAGCAGGCCTGCTGTGTGCCTGTCTGCTGCAAGCCTGTCTGCACTCCCATGAGCTGTGGGTCTAGTCCTTGCCAATTGGTTTGCACCAGCTCCTGTGAGCCTTCCTGCTGCCAACAGTCTGACTGCCAGTCATCAAGCTGCACATCCTCCCCCTGCCAGCAGGCCTGCTGTATGCCCGTCTCCTGCAAGCCAGTCTGCTGTGTGCCTGTCTGCTGCAAGCCAGTCTGCTGTGTGCCTGTCTCCTGCAAGCCAGTCTGCTGTGTGCCTGTCTCCTGCAAGCCTGCCTGCTGTGTGCCTGTGTGCTGTGGGGCCTCCCCCTGCTCATCCTCTTCAAGCTGCCAGCCCTCTGTCTGTGCCCCTTCCTGCTGCAAGCCCTCCTCCGTGTCCCTCATCTGCAGCCCTGTGTGCAAGCCTGCGGGTTGCACCTCTGCCTCTTCTTGTTGTGTCCCGGCCTCTTGCTGCCAGCCCAGCTGTTGATGCCCAGCCTCCTGTGTAACTGTTGTCTGCTGCCCTGTGTGCTTCTATCAAGTTTGCTGTAGCCCCTCATCTAGCCAGAAGTCTGTCTGCTAAGTGGGTGCCTCCTGCCCTCAGGATTAGCATAAGAGCTGAGCTCACAGATACCAGCATTTAGCCTCCTCAAGAGTTTTAACCTCCTGAAAAGACAACCACAAGCTGTTTCCTCAGTGACACCAAGAGTGCCAGTGATGTCGTCCTTGTTCCCCAGGGTGGTCCTGTAAAATGCTACCACAGCCACCCCAGAAGCTAAGCACAAGTCTAGAATATCCTGCTGACCCATGTTATGTCCCGGCCTGCTTCTGTTCATGCACAAACCCCATTCCAAGTGAGCACCTGCTTTTCTGGTCTAATAAACTCTCCTTCATTGCACCTACATGTGTCCTTTCCTTCTGTGAATTTGGAGGGGAGGGCCGGTGTACCTAAATATCAGATCCACTGGGGACTTTGGAGCACACCAGCCTGTAATCTTTCATGAAAAAACAAACAGAAGTGCACGAGAGTCCAGGACCTGGAGTTAATTGGGGCAGCCACCTCCAGTCCATGCTTCCCTTGGCCCCCTTCCCCTCCTTCCTCTCCCCCTCCCCACCTCCCCCCCCACGATACCAAAGCCCCTCTTCCAGCAGCTGGCTGGGTGGTGCCTAAGCGTCCTGTGTCAACCAATAAGGTGTGCTGGCTTTGCTGGGACCATTCCCACAACTTCATCTTCCATGACACCCAAGGCCCTCCTCGGATTCCCCATGGCAACCACACCAGGCTACTTTTCCTCCACTGCTCTCAGCAACTGTGTGAGCACAATGATGGTGGTGGTTATACGCAGTAGAGTCGGTTCCGACTCATAGCGACCCTGTACATGGTTTCTGAGGCTGTAAATGTTTACGGGAGCAGAAAGCCTCATTTTTCTCCTGCTGAACGGCTGGTAGCTTCTAACTGCTGTCCCTGAGGTTAGCAACACTATTCGTAACCACTACATTACAATGTCCTCCTCTCAGAAACACAGAAAGACGTCTCCTCACATGCCCCTGTTACTAGGGACAATTCATGATCTACTTGGGGCCTTCTCAGAACAGCACCTTGATCCTTGACTCCCCCCACCTAACCCTCATCCCTTCTCCTCTTCTTTTCAGGTGTCAGAACTGCATTACTGTTTTTGGTTCTTCCTACTTTCTTCTTGTCTTTCCTCCTTTACTTTTCTTAGACATGTTCACCAAATAAATCTCTTGCATATCTAACCTTATCTTGCCATCTGCTTCTTGGAGGACTCAAATTGATTTGTGCACCATTATATTCTGTACCACTAAAAAAGCAATATTAAAACAAAAATACCCCAAAAAATCATCATCAATTAATCTATGATCCAAAGTTCAATCAATATTCTTACAAGAAAAAAGTTGCTCCACCTTTTTGCTGCCTTGAAAACTGCTGGTGTTGTTGTTAGATGACATCTGATCAGCTCTGACTCATAGCATTAGCATTTCTATGCTGGAGAGTTCTTCAGACATTTGTTTTGGTCTTGCCTTTCTTTCCTGTCTTTTTAATAACCTTTTGTTTTTTTCCTGTATGCTGTTCATGATGACATTCCAATGGTCTTTGGTCATCAGTGTCTAGTCCATCAAATCTGTACTTGAGATGGTCTCTAAAATCAGGTAGGATATATTCAAGGTCGTATTTTGCCTTTGGTGGACTTATTTTCATTTTCTTCAGCTGCTAAAAGAACTAATAGATCCATTTTGGAAGAAGTGCAGCCAGAGTGCTCCTTGGAGGCCAACATGGCCAAACTTCATCTTTCATACTTCATACCTATTGTCAGAAGGGACCAGTCACTGGAGAAGGATATCATGTTTGGTAAGGTGAAGGGGCAGAGAAAAAGAGCAAGACCCCCAGTGAGATGGATTGGCAAAGTGGCAGCATCAATAGGCTCCAGCATGACAACAATTGTGAGGTTGGTCCAGGACAGGGCAGTGTTTCATTCTGTTGTACATAGGGTCAGTATGAGTCAGTACCAACTCAATGACACTAACAACAACTATGAAAAAACATAATAGCTTTACCTATTTATTACTTGTGGATATCACCTTTACTTGCATTCTGTAAAGTACTTAAGTTGTCAAATTCACTGCCAGTGAATCAATTGCAATTCACAGTGACTCTGAATAGGGTTTCTGAGGCTGTAAGTATTTACAGGAGCAGAAAACCTCCTCATCTTTCTCCTACAGAGCAGCTAGTCACTTTGAACTTACAACCTTGTGGTTAGCAGTCCAATGCTTATCCTGAGACACCACCAGGGACAAAGAGCTTAGTCATTAAAAATTATTTATGAAATTATAATAATTCCTCCAACAATGAATATGTATTTCATCAATATGTGCTTCATCAACACCAATTTATAGCCTATTGTTCTGGTTCCACACATCTCTACATAAACAATAATTTTTAAAAATGCTGAATTACATTAAAATTATTAGAAAACAGTTTAAACTGCGATTAAGCTCAATACCTATAGTAGCACATGGTCTGTAATTTGAATGCTGAGCCAAAGCATACCTGGGCAAGCACGTGTGACAATGCCTAAGCAATTATACAAAAAGAAAATATGCCCTTTGATGACTAAGGTACGTCTGACCCAAACCATGGACTTTTCAATCGCCTTTATGCATATGAAGGTTGGGTCATGAAAAAGGAAGAAAGAAATTGATAAATTTTAATTTTGGTGTTGGTGAAGAATATTGAATATATCTCATGGCCTGCCAGAAGAATAAACAAATCAGTCTTAGTAGAAATATAGCATACAGTCAGAATGCTTCTTAATAGCTAAGATGATGAGACATTGACTTGCTTACTTTAGACTTTGTTTCATCAAGAAAGACCAATCATTAGAAAAGGTAAAGTAGAAGATCAGTGAGAACCATCTCATTGAGTTTTCTCAAAGAAATGGATTGACACCATATGAGTACAATGTGTCCAATGACAACAATAGACTCAAGCATATACAAAATCAAGGTCACATTGAATGGGAACCAACTCAATTGCCTCAAAGGCCAAATTCTTCACTCCTCGTTGTGACTTTGCTGCCCCTTCTATGGGAGGTGGAGCACATTTTCCAACCCTTCAATTCAGAGTTTGGTTATGAGGTTTGCTTTGGCCAGTGAAATAACAGCAAATGTTGTACAATTAGAGGCTTGAAAAGACTTGTGTATTTCAGCTTGTTCTGCTCTGTGTTCCTGTCATCACCCTGAGAACATGCCTGACCTCACCTGCTAGAAGATGGGAGTTACCTGGAACAGAGCCAAGTCATGCTGGTCATCCTGTGAGAAGCATTGTCGATACCCCAAATACTGCCTTGGATCCTCTTGGTTATGAGGTCACCGATGCATTACCAACAAGTGCTTACCAACAAATGCTCAAGAAATCCAATCTGTACTTATTTTAGCCAGAGTAAGGATTTCTTTATGCAATTTTGCAAAATTAGGAACCTGACCTAGAGGACACAGGTAGACACCAAGTGCGCTGGCTTGCAAAAGATTTTTATCCTCCTATTTTACACCCTCGGAAACCCTGTACAGGGTCGCTATGGGTCGGAACCGACTCGAAGGCACTTAACAACAACAACAACAATTTTGAGCAAGTCCCTCCCCTGGTTCCTCATTGACTGAGTATTATGGGGTTAACAATCTTTTTCAGAAGTCTCCTATCTTTCCTTGATGGTAGCATTCTTATTTAAAGTTAGTCTCCCTTTTCCCCATGAGCTTCCCCTATTTCCTCAATGGTTATATTCTTATTTAAAGTTCCTAGCAGCCCAACAAGTTTCTTCTATAGGTATACTAGCCTGCAATTCAAAAGACTGAACTATAAAGGATTCTTTCACATTCACTCCTAGATTTATAATAACCCATGACTAATTGCCTCTGTAGTACAATCAAGATGAAAATAACTGAGTAATTCCTGAAGATGGACCATCTTGAGAATTCATTTCTCACAATCCCACTGAGGCCATCATAGATCAGGTGACAGCCTGCTAAACTCAGTCATAAGAGTGAACCCAGCCATAATAAACACAGCTACCTTGATGACAGCAAAGAGATAAGCAATGAATGCTCACAGTTTATGCCACTGAGGTTTGTGGGTTTTTGTTAAACAGTATAATTATGACAAAGAATACATACCACAATCTCATAATTGCTAAAACATAAAAGTATGTGCAATCTCATAATTGCTAAAACATGAAAGTACATATTAGTATATGTTTTTATTTTATGAGGAAGCATGTTATAAACCAGAGGAGAGAGTAGAAACAAAAATCCTTACCAGAAAACCCTGTACACTTGATACCATAGGGCAGTGTCCAATTATCCAAAAAGCAAGATAAGTAAGCACAGGCTTAGTTGTGCTTGTTTACTAATCTGGAGTGAACAATTTCACATTAATTTCATCAAATCAAAGATGTCATGAAAAATACATGAAACTGTTCACTACAGATGAGTAAAGAAGCATAAGTAAGCCTTTGCTTACTTACCTTGCTTATTGAGTAATTGGACACTACCATAGGGCACACATTGTTCTCAGAATTTTCTAGTGATCAAAAAGCAAAAGAGATAAATGACATTAATCCTGAATTATACCATATTATTTAACAGTAGATGCACTGACTCTACTAGGCTGAAAGTTGATAAACGTGTCTTCATGTAGTTTCCTAAAAGGACCCTGGGTAAGCAGGGTTATACCTCCACCCATACCCTTGCCCCTGGAGCCTGTGGCAATGCCTAATCTCACAATGCCCAGCTGCACTCCCTGAAGCTAAGTAACATAATGCATTTTTTTTCTATTTTTATTGTGAATTATGTGTTAGTTTACATGGAAAAACATTATCTTTACATTCATCCTATCGTATTTTGTTTCATTGCAATGGTCACAATCCTCTGCATGCATCATCAAACAACCAAAGGGTACATCCTACATGCCTGTCC